GTCAAGCAGCCTGCGAAACTCAAGAAGAAGAACCTCTTTGCGCAGCATTCGTCCTCGCCATCCTCGTCTGCCAGGGACAAGTCCAAGGGTCTCGGCCGGTCCTTCTCTGTGAAACATAACAAGCCCAGTTCATTTGCTCAACACCAGCAGCAGCAGTTCGTCGACCGTAGGCGTCCATCGGAACCATATCTAGGTTTCAGACAAGAGCATGGAGTAGGAGAGCTCCACTCCAATCCGCTGATGCAGCAGAACACAGAGCTCGATCCCACTTCCAACCCCTCGTACGGCCTCCAGCCGGCCGCCGATCCCTCCTCGCAGCATCAATACTCTCATCCTCCGCCGCATTCGCCGCTCGAACATCCTCCCTCCATCCAGCGCGTCAACACCGATCCGCTGGACGCGACACCCTTCCACCACGATCGACGAGGAGAGAGTGGTGACCTGACCCCAAGCCAGGTGAGCTCCCACCAGCACCGCATGCCTTCATACTGTGAGGAACTGCAACCACCATCGCCCCTTCATCCGTCTTTCCAACGCGACCCTTCTTCCCTCTCGCACCATCCCGTCCACCAGCATTCCAATCTCTCGGAACCAGTCTTATGGCACCGACGTTCCCCTCAACCGGAGTCCAGTTACTCGCCGGCCCGGCCGTCGTCGCAGCAGTTCCTGGAACCGTCTTCTTCTCCCCTCCCTCCGCAGCAGACACACCATTCTGATCTCATGATGAAACTGCAGAGTCCTTCGCGCCGGCCGTCCCAGCAACCTTCGAACCTCAACCCGCAGTCTGGCGACATGGCCGCTGCGGACCGTGCCTCGGGGTTACGACAGCCGCAGGCGGATTCCTCAAGCCAGCCGCAGAGCTTCCGGCGAGATTCTCAGGCTGCCCAGGGTCATTCCCCGTACCCGGGCACTCCACCGGGCGCCAGCTTCAAGGGCAATTCGTCCCAGCAGAACCTCCAGGAGCATCAACAAGGGCGGGAGACTCCGCCATCGGCCCAGCAAAGCAAGTCGCGAGAGGACCTGGAGGAAGTAGATGTAGCGGCGCTGATCCAAAAGCATGAAGAGCTCCGTATGTCCAGAACTTCTCATGTCCGTGCTGTAGAACTTTCACTAAGACCTGACTGCAGAGGCCAAGTATAACAAGGTCAAGAGATACTATTTTGAAAAGGAGGCCCAGGTGCAACAATTGCAGAATACGGTGGCCCATCAGCGGATGGCAGTGTCGCGCACGGTCTTGGATGATAACGAGTACACAGCACGGTTCAATCGCCTTGATGGAGCCATCAAGGATCTCTCGTTTTCTATCCGCAAGGAGTGGCAGAGCATCCCCAACTGGCTGCAGTCGTACGTCAACGAGGACGCGGTCACCGTGGGCACCAAGGAAATGACTGCCGTGGGACGCGCCGTGATCTCTCGATGGCTGGTTGATGAAATCTTTGACCGTCTCTTTCACCCGGATTTGGAACCCAATTTAAGTATACAACTCAAGATGATCGAGACAAACCTACGACGACAACAGCCTCAGGCTGCTACGGAAGAGGACAAGGAGAATCAGATCGCGCGCATCTCCAACTGGCGGCGAGCGACTCTGGACGGTCTTACGGAGGTGTTACAATCGAAGTCGGCACAGGACCACCGCTCCCAGCTGACGGAGGGTCTCATTGAAAAGCTCATTGCAAGCTTGGGGATGAGTCTGAAAGATCCCCCGCCGCCGGAGATCGAGCACGGGGCGAGGATGATTATTGAGAATGCGCTGAACATCGCAGAGAAGATCCCCCTGGAAGCTCGAGATATCTGCGTGGAGTATTTTATGCCCGGGACGACGGTCACGGAATCGGTGATGAAGGTCGAAACGGGACTGCCCGCTCTGAACCGTCCGGGTGCCGCTGGGTCGCCTCCGAGTCAGGAACAACAACGCTCTGAACGACCCAGACGGGATAGTTCGGAGGACGTAGATATGGACAGAGACGCCGTGAAGGAATCCTCCACCGCTCCCACCACCACCACCACCACCACCACCACCACCACCACTGGGTCCCCGTCGAGGGATGCTTCCCCTCCGCAGACGCAACCCAGTCTGCCCGCAAACCGGGAGCAAAGGAAGAAGTACGTGTTTGGGAATTTCATGAGCAAAAAGTCGTCGTCCTCGTCGTCCTCGTCGCCAAGCGCGGGCAGCAGCCCTGGCTCGCAGCAGCAGGACTCTACACGACCCGGCTCAGCGGCCGCCAAAGACCGGGACCGGGACGAGGCCGAGAAACAACAAGAGAGCAGCAGCGGCAGCAGCAGCAGCCGCTCGCCAACGCGAATCCGGTTTGCGGCATTCATGGCGGTCGAAGTCCGGGGGAAGGGTCCGAACAATGTGCTGATCAAAGCTCCTGTGTATGCGTTGGATGGGTAGTCTTCTTCCTTTTTTTTTCCTGTCCTTTTTTTTTTGGATCTGGTGCCTGTTTATTTGTTTGTTTGGCAAGAGCAGAATACAATACCCCCTTCGTTCATCGTTCGTTGGTCCGTCCTATGGCTTTTGGTCTGACTGTGGAGGATTTAATCTTTTCGTTAGTCTTTCGTTTCTCGTGTTGTGTCTTTGACTAGAGATGACATGTTATGGATATAGCGGTGATTGATGACACAATGATTTTTTATTTGTTGACCCGGACTGCAGGTGAACTGCACAGGGAACGAAAAAAAAGATTTCTTGTAGATGAAATGGGAGGATAAGATAAGCCTGTCTGCCTGCAGGTATGTTGATAAGAATGAGTGAATGAAACGATATGATATGATCAAGGAAGGAGCTACGATAATTGCAATATATTGCAGGAACGAACTTATATCTCAGTGGAAAATACATGTCAACATCTCATCACGGAAACATTCACAACTCGTTCGTGTTGTCTCATATATATATCCATAAACCGAAGATGGTGTTCGATAGACCATCGACAAGCATCCTCGCATGACGTATCAGCATAAGGTCAATACCTAGGAAGTGCCGCGTTATACACTCTACAGAACCACCTGCGCATCGCCAGCAGCGTCATCGACAATCATACCCAGGCGGAGCGCCCAATCCTTGCGCTTCGTCTCCTGCACCAGCTCGTCCGCCAGGTTGCGCCTGCGGGCGTACTTTCTAGGCGGGCCCTTGACGGTGATAACCCTGCCATGCATGTGCATTTCCTTGGTCGTGCCATTCGTCACGGACAGCAGTCCCGCAGAGACGATCAGCAGAAGCAGAAGGAGCAGCTGGCCGAACTTGCTGACGTTGCTGACCAGAGTCGTGTCGAGGTACACCAGCAGCGTCGCCAGAGCGGTCAGGATGTCCTCTGCAAACGTCCGGTCGCGCATCCACTGCCCGGACGTGACGGCCTTGAGGTCGTCGACGGCACCCTGCAGCCGCACCCAGCGGTCCTGGCTCAGCAGCACGAGGAGATCGCCCCGGACGCCCGGCTCGGAGGCGCCTTTCCAGCCTACTTCGCGGCATCGCTGGCGGATCACCACGACATTGCACAGACGCGCCACCATCAGCACGAGCAGCGAGAAGACGCCCCACCAGTCTCCCATGACGATGAAAACCACCAGCAGCGCTGGAGACGCACTGGCCGCGCAGATGTAGGCCGCAGACGAAATCCAGTCTGAGCGGGTGGCCTTGGGATGGTGGCGATGTGACAACAGCCGTGAGAGACGTCTGGCACCAGAACTCAGGATTACTGACGGGGTGAACTTCTTCTTGTATCCCTGTTCTCTACTATACCAACTCCCCTTCTGACGGCTTTGCGTTGTCCTCTCCTCTGGCGACGTCAAAGGAGACACTTCGAGCCGCGTCAAATGGCCTGTCTCCGAGACCTTCTGCAGAAACATCACCGTTGCGGGATTTTCGATGCGAAAGACGTATCCGGTCGTCATGGCCGCCGCCGCGGGATATTCGCCGCCGTTCAGCTCCGGTGCAGACTGCTGTCGATGCAGACCGGGACATAGGACCAGCGCATCCCAGATCACCGATGTCCCGGTGAGAGCAGTGCGTTTCGCCACTGCTGTTATCTCGGCGATTGCTACGAGGCCGGCCGCGTCGAGGGATACGTTTGAGAGTGCGTTTCCCTGGAAGTTTAGGTCCAGTAGCCGGCGTTGAAGCTGGCCGGAAGATTGCGTTGCCTGGGAGAAAGAATATTGTGTTAGCAGTGGTGATCTAGGTAAGTAGGTCCTCGCTTTCTTTCTCTCTCTCTCTCTCTCTCTTGTTTTTTTTTTCTTTCAGATTCGTTTTTCTGACATTTCCGTTTGAACGTTTCTTTTTCTCTTGTCTCGTAAAGAGATTTCATCGCTTACATTGATTGGAATATACATCTCCCTCAGTTAACGAGTGCTCTCTAGGTGAGTTGAATAAAATTGGATACTATTATTTCTGCGTGGATATCAGGTTGTCTGTCAAAGGAGCATATCAGAGGGCGCATAGCCTCAACTTGGACAATTATAATGCTGGCAAGGCACTTTTCTTCACTGTTCGATTGGAAGAAAAGAATCTACGGAGTGAGCCCACGACAAAGCATCGTGATGCGCCCGGGCGACTCCTCGTGATGACAGCTGTTTGCACTGCCCCGCTCCCGATGCCCATGTCTCTTCTCTTGATGCGATTTGCTGGGGAGACAGACAGAAATCATCGACCTCCAGTTTGCATCGATGCATCGAGACTCTTCACTCTTCTCCGAAACGATATTCTAGCGCATGCGAAATATCCATGAAACTGGCTTATATTGCGGTTATTTTCATTTTTTACAGTATCCTTTGCCCCTTTTACGTTCTTGAAGGCTGGTTGTTGCTGACAGTTTGATCAGTGCCAGGCAAACAAGGCTACGAGGCTGAACGCGCCATAGGCGAGTTAAGCGGCGCAGAAGCGGGCGAAAACCCAACATTGTTATCCCTAGTGGCTCAACATGTATGATCATTACTGGGAAAGTTCAACTGCAGGGCTGGGCTGCCAGCAGCTGGATTAATTAGATTCTTTAGTACCGACTCGTCGCTGAATGATGCCATTGGTTAGCCTCGTGGTGTTGCGGCTGATATGCTGTCAGCAGCGAAAAAAAGGCCCGCCGACAGCCTTGTTGAGTAAATGACTATGGGCGAAAAAAAGAGCAAGGCGATTTTATTAAACAGCCTTGCTTCTGTCGTCTCAAGGACTTCTCTGCAGCAATGATTGCCCTCAGTGCTTACTTCGCAGGGACCCTCTCGTGCGAACTTGACATTTATGACCAAAGGTGAGAAGACATCGATGTTGAAACCGGCATGAATTAATGGTTTGAAGATTACATCAGGGGTGGAAATGTCCACATACCAGTACACGCAGTTGCAGTCAGGCGAATTCCGCCTCTTGAAGCTCTCACCGGGAGACGGGAATACAGAGCTGGTGGGCGCTCTGGAGATCTATACCCTTTACCCCCTAGCATACCCTCCAGAAAACAATCGAAGTCCGGATCCGAAGCCATACGATGCTCTCTCTTACACATGGGAAGATGACGAGATCGGCCATTCCATCGGACTGTTGCGTGAATCCATAGCTTATCCGGTGCCCATACGACCCAACCTGAAGGCTGCTCTACTACAGCTGCGAGATCCAAAGGAGCCCCGATATCTCTGGGTCGATGCACTGTGCATCAACCAACGTGACAACAAGGAGAAGAGTGAACAAATCCCGTGGATGTTCCACATCTTCAGCAGGGCGAGGAGCGTCTGCGTGTGGCTCGGGCGTGAAGAGGGGGACGGTGGAAGAGCGATGGACTTCATCCGAAGACTGATATCGATATCTGACGATTTCGATCACCTGGTGGCAGACCACAATCTATCCAAAGACTATGTGGCGCTGTCGAACTTGCTGAAGCGACCCTGGTTCAGCCGCCGTTGGATTGTCCAGGAGATTGCGCTGGCCAAGAGTGCGACTTTGCACTGTGGCAAGGAGTCCATCTCCTGGGAGGATTTTGCCGATGCTGTATCGCTTTTCGTCAACGCACAGCCCAAGATCCAGACCGTGTTTCGTAACTCGCACGAGTTTCATAACGATCCCGATTACCTCGGTGATCTCGCGGAATATGCCGGTGCCCGCCTGGTCCAGGTCGCGGACGACATCTTCCGAAAGACGGAGGATGGCCGAATCATGGTGCGGTTGCTGTCGTTGGAAGAGCTCATGTCGACGCTGTCAGGATTCGTGACCACGGATCCTCGTGACGTGCTATACGCGATCCTTTCGCTCGCACGGGATGCGCGACCGGGATCGAAAGACGCATTCATCTCCCAAGTTGGAGATGGTCTTGAGCAACAAGGAAACCATTCGTCGAATGGGCCACCTGTATCTCCAATTTCTCCTATGTCTTATGTCCAGAACGAGCAGTGGTCAGGGCTGACTCCAGCCATGGCCCTTAGGGGTGGTGGCCAGGCGCCAAGATCAAGAGCATCATCGGACGCCCGATCCGACAACTTAAGCACCGTGTCTGCTCCTGGCCCGGCCGGCCTCGCAGTCCCTGTACGTGGCAGGGGAAGAGCTTATTCGGATGCCGAGTCCATTGGAACTGCAGCTGAAAGGCAACATAATCAGCAGAGCGGCTCTGACCAAGGCCAGGTACCTGTCGTTGTGCACCCCGCTGCGGACGTTAATGGAGGAGGCGTAGTGGTCCCAAATGATGCCGATTCACACGATACTGCGGAATATACTCCTGGTGGTGAGCGGGTGAATGGGCAAGACATCAACAGTCCGCCACCGAGGCGTCCTCAACTATCGATTGATCCTGTGTACAATGAGCTGGCGAAAAAGTTCATAAGGACACTCCGCCAGCAAACGATACTCCACCGGATCCCTGTTGATTATGACAAGAACATCGTCGAAGTCTGTCGGGACGTCTTGTTCTTCACCGTCTCCACTTCGGGTTCGCTCAACATGCTCTGTCGCCCCTGGGCGCCGGCGGACGAGTCGCTGCCATCGTGGATTGCACCCATCAGCCGGAACCCGTTTGGACTTGGGAAGAATGGCGTCTACCATCGGGTCAACGCGGATCCGCTCGTTGGCCAGCCAGGCCCGGGGCGGAGTTTCTACAACGCGGCGAAGACGACGCCCGCAATGGTCAAACCAAACCCCAAGATAATGACCAGTCTGGTTGCCTATGGGTTTGTCCTGGGCGCTGTCAAGGAGAAGAAATTGCCTGCTCTGGCGGGTGTGATCCCGGCAGAATGGAACGAGGTCGTCGGTTGGAAGGACACCTCCAAGCCGCCCCCGGAAGGGTTTTGGCGCACGCTGGTCGGGAATCGCGACTCGTCGGGTCGACTGCCGACACGACTGTGGAAGAACGCATGCCAAAAGGCATTCGAGCTCCGACCCAAGGGGGGCGATCTGGTCGTGAAAGAGGTCATCACGTACAAGTCGCCCGAGTTTGTCAAGAAATATCTGGAACGCGTCCTGCAGACGGTGTGGTCTCGGCGGCTAGCCTTCTTGGAGAACAGTCGTGGGAAGCGGACGCTGTGTCTTGCGCCACGGGAGGCGAAGAAGGGCGACAAAGTGTGCATCCTGTATGGATGCAGTGTGCCTGTCCTGCTCCGCGAATGCAGGGAAGAGCGGCAGGCTATGATTACTGCCAACCATGACGGCGAGACGAACCCAAGCGCCAGTGCAAGAAGGACGTCCGCAGTCGAGGCGCGTGTCACCTACAAGGTGATCGGTGAATGCTACGTGCATGGCATGATGGATGGCGAGGCTATTGCATACCAACAACAAAAGAAGATAGAGCACCAGCATTTTGATCTGAGGTAGGAGTAAGCAATTAATCAGGTTTATAAGTGACAATGTCATTCTTAAGTGTAGTAGAAGAATTGTCGAAAAAAGGAATAAAATAAAAAGTTTAAATCTGTTCATTCTACCTATATATGGAAGGTGGATGGTATCATTGCAGAAAAAGGTACATTATTAGGATAGGATTCTACAATCATGTCACTTTTTTATTAATAAATTCTATAAAATAGATATTTCCTTTTGTACTAAATACAGTACATACTGTGTATGTTCATGTTAAGATAATGAAAAGAAGGATTCATCTGGAATATGGCACAATATGATACATAAGAAACTGCATGAGGAGGCCTTTGCTGTATTACTCTAACTATTAATATCTACTCCTTGAGGCATGCTCGGTAAACCAGGGCATAGGCCGCCAAATTATGGACTCGACATCGCCAAAGTCCTTCCCTTTGCCAAAACACAGCTCCCTTCCCTGCAGGATCGATCAACATTCAGAGAGTATAAGTATAGTGGCCCTTGAGGAAATTATCGCAGCAGCAAGCCACAGGCGGGTATGTACCTGTCTTTTATCAGTTGCTTATTTTATTTTAATTCTATTTAACCATAGTTGTATGTATAAGGTAGTGTTAGGCTTATAAAATAGCTCCCTAATTACCCTTCTCAATAGAAAACATACCCCTTATTAACTTTAGTAAGTAATAATACTGATAGCTAAATAGATTATTAAAGCTCTTACTTACTATAATAAGTATATAAATTAGAGCCACAGATAGCAGAGGTCTTATATATAAGGGATTACCTGACAGTCTTTTAACTACTATAAACAATCAGACGGCAAGAGGACTGCCAAAAACGGCCGCAGTCGTCGCTGTTTTCAGCCGCCGATTTGCCATTCTTCCTGCCACTCACTCGTCCGCCTGCCTCCACGCACCGCATCCGCGATGCTGACCTAAGCCGACTGGACTCTTGCCCTAAGTTGAATCTCTTCCATTACTCTGCCTCTATCGCTTCGCTTGTCTACTCGAGGGGAGCCAAAAACGACCTCCCTCGACCCGTTACCCTTGTCCTTGGCCACGCTCGCTCCGTTACAAATAGTGGTGTTTCCCTTCCCTGCAAGATGAAGCCTCCTCACCCATCCCCCAGCCGACGGTCTCACCACCTTTTCAGAGGCGTGTGGACCGGCAACCTTCCAAATCTATCTTCTTTCGATTCATATATATATTGTGTTATTCGCTTCGTGACATTTGTGCAATATGGCCCACCGCCGTCGGAAGGCCGACTACCAGTCGACTGATGAGAGCGGCTATTCTGATGGTGACAGCTCCGACGACATGGGATATGATACGGACCCAACTGAACTTGACGAAGGTGAAGATCAGCTGAGGGATGCCAGCGACGTGGCCCAGCTCTTTGGGGATAATGAGCACCCGCCAGAGTACTATATCCAACAACTCGAGAACTTCGATGAGACCGTCTACACCCAGGAAGACTACAGTGAAGCACTCTCCTTCTGCTGATCGGGTG